TTTATGTGGCTTTTTTTTTTTTGCAGTTTCTTGTATTTTAAATTATCGCTGACATGAACATGGCAGAAAACTGAACTGCCAAGCAGAGTGGCAGGGTTCTACCATAGAGCTTCTTTGCCGATAGTTGGTAGAATCATGGTGATAGTCCAATTCTTTTAATGAATTAAAATGCTTATATCATAAGCCTTGGACTCAACACAGTAAAGCAGGTTAAAATTACACTAACCGAAAGGTCCCTCACTCAACACTATTAAACATTTATTGGTTGGAAGAACAATCTGGTAAAACTGATTGGTAATATTTTAATCTACAATGAATCTGGCCATAAAACGTACTTTTGGATTCTCTCTAACTTACAAAAAGTACATTTATGAAAACATTAGTTGGGGACAATTTATTTTACTCAGTTTCAGTGAATATAAAGAATTCTATAATAGATAAAGCCTCGATTTTTTTTTTTGGTCAGTTATATGTAATGAGTTCCCCCAACACTGAACAGTTCAGTAATATGATATTCTGATATTCATATGTATGTCTCTGATCAGGCTGTAAAACCCACTGCTTTCTTTATCTCATTGCTCTTCCTGCCATCTACCTGCTCTGCTTGATACAAACTCGCTTTGTGTATGTGTGTGCCTTGCAGCCCCACCTCTTCTATTGTAACACCAGTGTTGTTGAGCTCCTTGTAACCGAGCCACCAACGAATGTGGACTGCGGGATTACTTGAGGAAGCATGGCAGCTCAGAGTCAACTCCTGCCCCTCGACGGCCTCCAGCGAACCCGACAGCGTCAACTCCACAGGATCAACTGAAGAAAATGCACCCACATACACAGGCAAACACACAAAGAAGTCAGTAAAAATATCACCCCGCATTCAACAGCTCCCTATTCTGATCACAGTGGCAGAGAGACTATTTTAGGATGTGAGACACAGAGCATGTATCAAGGGTGAGAGTGAAAATCACTTTGAGTGGCAACTTGTTTTCTCTAGGGGTTTTTCATTGTGGTTTTTAAAGTCTGCTTCATTTTAACCAGAGGGGGAGACAGGGTACAATCGCTGCAGGCGATACGATGCAGTAGTATAAATCCTCCAGGGGAATACAAAGGCTGGAAGGAGGACTGAACTGACAGGTTCAGGGAAGGTAGGTCATGTGTGTCAGTTTGCATGTTTATATATATATATATATATATATATATATATATATATATATATATATATATATATATATATATAAAGAGTGGGAAAGAGACAGACAGAATGACAGACAGACATAATATGTATTATTGTAAGAATTCCAGCATGGAGTCTCACTCTGTACCCTGCAGCATTTGTTAGAGCTCTAAAATCTGCAGTTCATTTTCAGCATCCCTGAATGGATGACTTGAAGGCATGGCACCACAGCCTGCAGGGGATACGGTAAGGGAGGGGGGTGGGGGATTGGGGGT